TGTCCACTATTATAAAGCGAAGAGGCGCGAGCAGCATGTTTTTCGTCATCTTTGGGCGAGATTGTCCGATGCTCTGCGCCTCGGTGGCGGACGTACGAAGGCCTACTCGTGGATAGCGCGAGAAGGCACTGCTGGGCTGGAGCACATGCCTCTGCGTGTCGTATGTAGCGTTCCGCTCGCGCTATGGGGCTGTTTCGCTGAACCATGCGCGGAATGGCGCAGGAATACGACCCGGTCTCGCTCGTATTGGATTACATTCTCAATGTACGTCGTGCATCATTGGCATACTACTCAGTCGTACCGCTGAGACTCTCGCGGCCAGCGCGCACTGTCTGTCAACGTGGCCGTGGCAAGCACGCACGACGTGGCGTGGTTGTGCAAGGTGCGTATGGGCACGCGCAGTGGATTATGATGCTTTTGATCGCCACCAGACTAGCCACAACACCGACGTCATCTATTTGCTGCGCAAGATGCGCCCGGGGATCACTGTACTGGATGGTGGTAGTAAGGACACATCTCTTCCCATGCATCGCGTGCTCAGCGATTCGCAGTTGGCATGCTTCGCCGCCCCGACGAGACCCGGCTCTCGCTCGTCCGCGCTATCATGCCACGGACGAACAAGTCTCTGGATGAGGGGAGTCGCATGGAGACGTCGGAGCCGTCCGCTCCCCTCCTCCCGGGACCTCGCAAGTCCGAAGCGAAGCGGTTCGAAGTCCGGGTAGGAACCCCTTTTTCTCCACGCGCCGTCACTCCATCTCATCGTGTTGCTTGCAGGAGCTGATTGCCCAGGGGCCGCTGGACAGCCCGTGCCAGGATGGCGGCGCCGAGATCACCGTCGCCGAGTTCGGCTGCGAGCCCGGCGTGAAGCTGTCCGACATCCTCGCCGCATCGGCGTACCTCGACCGGGCACACCACCCGGCACTCCCGGCACTCTCCACCCGCCGGCCGTGCATCACGATCACAGTGAGTCCGCCGCTGTCCGTTTCGTTTCCCCAGATACGCAATCTCACGCGCGCGCGGCCACAGTGGCCCGGGTACGAGCCGTACAGGGACAACCTGTGGCTCGCGGGGGACATCACGGTCGAGAGCGTCGTCGCTTCCGTCGCCGACGCCGCGCTGCGATTCTACACGGTGCGTCCCATTTTCGCACATTGTATTCCGCCGCTGAGCCTTTCGCTGCGCAGAATGCCTCTCAGCTGCCGTGCGCCGAGCCGCAGTTCGCGCTGGGCTCCGGGGCGCTGGAGCTGGGCGCTCTGTTTTTGATCAAGGTCCGCATCGATCCGGGGGGCGCGATCCAGCCTGTCTTCGAGGTGGTGAGGAGACGGTGAGGGCGTTTCGGGTATGTTCCGATGTATACATGCGGTATGGATTGAACACAGCACACTCGGGTTGCTTTCGTTTCTCTTCGCTGAGTACAAGTCGGAGCAACAAATTCCATAGTTATAATGGACCTTATTCGCACTGGGTCGGCATATCAGGAGCGCGAACGCTTTCCAGGGAAACTTGTGGTTGGCTCAGGAACTAAGCAGGAACTGGTGACCGCTGTTTCTCCGAATGGTGCGTACATGGTGAGCGATCACTGGCTAGACGACAACTGGATAACAAGGTGGCAATTTCTGAAAATATTTGACGAGGTGGATATCCGGAAGATGTTAGCATCGTGCCGCAGCATAATGCACAACTCGATTTCACGTATACAACCGCTCGTATTCCTCTCGACCCGCCAAAGCAAATGGGACAAGTGGTGTAACTACTATAATCCAATGCCTCAGGCTCTGCTAAGATGCGTCAGTAATCGATAACAGCGAAAATATATGGCGAGTACCCGCTACTGCACAATTTGAACAGATTTGACCAGTCGCTTCATGTCGTCGATTTCGCTCATAGTGAACAACAGGTGCCCAACGAGTCGAAGCTCTTCCAGTCCCGTCGCCGTTCGCGTTGCTAGGCATAGTTTTAGGGACTTCAGGATATTTTCTTCATTCAGATAACTACTACGTGGTATCACTAGGTCGAGTAAGCTGGGGTCATAGTAATTGAGTTCCACGACGCGAAGCGACGGGATGCAAGTGGGACAGTCGGCGAGTGTGCTGAGAAGATGGTCGATGTCTCGATACGAATACACGCGAAGATGAGTGATAACATTTGGATGAGTGGCACACAAAAACTGTTGTGCGTCAAGCGGGACCAGGTCACGGCCAAAGTTCCGCATTTTGACACTCGCAAAGCCTCCTTTCAGAGAAGCCATAGTTTTCATCCTTGCGCGTACGACCTTTTTTTCATTCATTCCAGGAGTAGTAGCCTCAAAGAATGTCGGAGAATAAATGCCATAACCCACGTATAGATACGGGTCATATTGGATGATATCGAGACTTGCAGAGTCGGCCGGAAGTTTCGCAGTCAATAAGGAAGTTAGAGCTACTAAATCACGATCGGAGGTATGCATGCACAGAACGGAAAGCCTGGGAGCAATAATCCTCCACAGGAACCTTGTGCACTCTAATGCAACATTTGAGCGACGACAGTTCCACTTGCTGATCTGGTGCATCCTCTTCTTTACGCCAGGTAGCGTGATGTAGGTGTAACGATTCCAACAACGGCAAACCCTCCAGTACGGGGAGTAAATCAGTACAAAAGACGCCCAGAGGGTTTTTTATCTCTAAATGTCGTAATGAATTGGATGCTATCCTGGTCCAAGCCATGGCACATTTTTCTGAGTGAAGTCGACTCAAGTGCGTAGCATATTTGGGGCAAAATATTTCAGGTAGGGGGAGATCTGTGTCATGTCCAGACGTGATTGTCACAGATTCAAGGAGCGGTGCGGGAGAATTAAGGAAAGCATGGATGTCTTCATCTACTTGGAGACCAATATGGATGCCTCGGATCCGCGACATTTCTTTGGAGAGAATCTTGGGCAACACCTCGCCAATCAATATCTGATAGAAAAAGCGAACCTCCTGAGAGTATTCCGGCAACGTGACAGTGAAGGGTGCTTGCTTTGTGCGCTCGACCTGGAGTTTCATCCACCTAGGATGCTTGTTTATTACCACATTCGTCCAGAGAATGGAATAATCAAGGGAAACGACACGCCAGTATCGACACACTCCAGAGAGTGTAACGGCCGCGCGAGCTTGGCGAGCGCGCATCTCCGCGTCCTCTACAGCAAGGGTAGAAGTGGTCGAGATTTGTTATGTTCACTGCGTCGGCAACATAATGGAGGAAAACGTGTTCCAGAACTTCGCGAGGCAGAACGGCGACCGGGGGAAGCGTGTTTAGCATTGATCGGATTTGTCTTAAGGCACGAACATGTTTCCAGCCCTCAAGTACAAGGCGTTGTCTCCGGTTCTCCACAGAAAGATCCTGATAATTGTCCCCGCAGATGGTGCGCATAGCATCCTGAAGATTACTATACACAGTCTCAGCAAACCAGTGCATAGGGTAGTCGACATGATTATGAAGTGAGACATAAGCCTGCGTAGCGCTCACCTGCTGATAAATTCTCCCGCAGACTCGGACATGGTTTGAGGCATCCTGTGCACTGAATAAGGGAATGTGAGGCAGTGCACAAACGAGAAAAAAAAAAGAAAGAAAAAAAAAACAGTCAGATTAACACTGTACTTAGGAGCTGGTAGCGCAACGCAACCTAAGGCTTCAGCTGCAATAATTGGAGGTTTTCAAGTGGTTCTGAGTATGGTAATGAGAATGGAAAGAAAAAACAGAGATATATTGACACCCGTACTGACTTCGCTGGTAGAGGCTCTGCCAGTGAGGACTCGACGAAAAAGACTCCCTCGTCGGCTCCAAGCGCACAACGAGGCACAGCGCGAGGCTGCGACGTTAACACGGTCCCGTGATCTTTTGATTGACCCGACTTCAAGCTTCAACGCGTTGCAGCTGAGGAAGAGGCTATCATGATGTAGTCAAACTTGAACTGCTCCGAATCCGGGATGCTCAATGCGCTGCCTATGCGTCCGGGCTCCTCCTTAGCTGCGGGAACGAGTACATTCGTCTGTTGACCTTCGAAGGAGATCATGCCCGTGTCGCTGAGACGATGTCGCATCAGGGAAGGATTGACCTCGTACCCAGACATTGTCCAGGACGCATCTGAGTACGAGACCAATCCGAACCATCATTCATCATCCACCATGACTGTGCGGTGACTGACTGATCTAAAGATGGGACTATAAGTAAGGCTATGATGGCCTTTTCCTTTGTGGATATCAGTGACATCTCACAATAGTGGAATTGGCTAATACGATTTGAATGTTTATTGATATTCAAGTTACTGAACACACAGTCCCGTTCGCTTAGTAAGTGCCCTCCTCGTCTCGATCGATCCCCAGCGGTTGGTCTATGGCCTAGGGCCACACACAAACTGGTAGGCCGTACTGGCATTCAAGTACACGAACAGGCTACTGATCAACCAAGCTGGACTCGCAGTGATGCCGGGCACGGCCCGCAATCAGCTTCCATGGCAAGCTGGGCGCGTTCGAATTAAGATCATCTCATGAAGACTAAGTGTGGAGAGTTTAGAATTGTGGCTCAGTTTAACGCCTACAATTTGAAACAAGTAGCACCATATCATTCCATCTAAAAGCTTTACCCACAGAACCTTTTCGACATGCTCCCCGTAAGCCTCTCGAGTGTCACATCTCACATCCACGACATAAATCCGGATCCAAGATGCCTGCCGTCGCCCCTCCATCTCCTGAAGAAGTTTTAGGTGGACTTGTGGTCGGCATAGATATTGCCATCCTGTATGTTCCTACTCTCCATTTTCAAGTTTCCCTGGCTTATCTGCGATAACCTGATCTTATCAATAAGTCTGTACGGGATTGTTACTGCACAAGTATACTTCTATTGGTGGACATCGCAAGATGACTCGAGATTACTTCGCTTGCTAGTTGCATCCGTATGGTAAGATCCCCAACTGATGAAGAAGAACATATCCCCAACTTACTCTCTTCTCTGAAAGGTGTTTGGAGACTGCGCACACAGCGTTCTGTATATATATGAAATATTTTTGCACGATCATCAACTTTGGAAATCTCGAAGATGTCCTTATCATTTCCTGGTGAACCTCGTTTTTGCGTCCTGTTTCTATTAACTAATGCTCGATGGTTGCTCCAGGAGCGCTGGAGTACGTTCTTATATGTCATGCTCGCTCCCTTATTTCGGGACAGTAATGTATATTTGGTATGCAGGCTACAGTAACCACGGGGGTAAAATTTCTGTAACCAGGGTATCCACATTGCATACTCAATAATTCACTCGCAATGTAGGCTTTGATCGCTGGCTTGGCTCAGAGGTGCGACTTTTATGTGTTTTTTTTGGCGGTGTCTTATATTTTATTTTCCAAGCTTTTTCATTTGGCGAACCTGGATATGTGCGTTATCACGTACTACGCTCATACATGTGCACTGATCACATCAATCTGTGTTCACAGTGAGTAAAAGGTCGATTGCACTAGTCTCTATACTGGTGAATTTGCTTCTCGCTGTCTCGAATTTTTGAGCCTGAATATCGCGTAGACAATTTTGCTCTTTATGCGTGTCGGTTTGTGACAGCCATCACTATTTTGGCCATAGATCTAACTGATCTTATGTCAGTGTTCGCATTCGGTACAAGCTTGCTCCTAACACCCACGTCCTGCATGTTTTAATTTCTTATTATGATCTTGTAGCAACGACAGGTTTAATGTATGTCTCCCACCATTCTTTTTTCTTTGCTATAATATCTTTTTCTCAATTTTCATTAGGTCAACATCTCATACCTGGCTTGACTTCAGATTATTCCGTGGAGGTCTAGTGCGTTTCCCAGCAAAACACCCATATACAGGTTTTTGACAGCTGTCTCATCCTTGCTGTAGATCACGTTCACCTGCGGCATCAGCCTGTCAGGAATTCTGGACGTACTCATTGCTTTCAGCCAGATTTATTATCTCTGGACTTGCCGTACGGGTTACCAGGCGTGAGCATTCGCTGTATACTTTGTAACGACCGAACTATTTTCTTTTTGTTAGAACAGATAATTTGGTTCGGACGTTAATGGCATACATTGTCAACACCGGTGCTCTGACCATGTGAGTCGAGTCTGCTCATTTACGATATGTCGTCTCACAGCACTGGAAGGTGTGTTTCGATAACGACTATTGCAATGGTACAAGCTCTCGATGAATTTGTGTGCCTCCCTTGTTTACGCACGCTGTATCTAGTTTTGGGCACCAGCTTCGAGGAACAGTCTGCTCTTTGGCGCACTGGTCGAGATGCAAAGCAAACGTACGTATTTAAATCCAGTTATTTCATTCGCTGACACGCTACAATAGTTTATGCGAATTCGCTGATCGCTATGTGCGGTATTCATCCTGTACCTCTAGTTAGACTGCTAGTGCTCAACTTTCTTCCAGGCTGAACGCACGAGAACACCTCAGAGCCGGACGACAGTACTCCTCTGAGCTGGTTGAGATCGGGTTGTATGCGAGTCACAGATCGTCCAGACCGGTACGTACAATCTTTATTAATTCATGATAAGTAACCCGATGCTGACGACGACGACGACGATCGAGTAGCAAAACATTGAGATACTCCGTGATGTGACAGAGATTACTGACCATACTTCAGACAAGAGCAGGGCCATTGGAAATAATTAGTACGGTGTACTGGGTACCCCTATTGTAGTCGGTGTAATCCCTATCAGTCGACCTGGTATACGTCGATTGTGTCGTGCTCAGGGGATGATAGATATTTTGATTCGCACTTGGAGGAGATAGTTCTGTCTTTTGCCTACCTTCTATCTCCAACAGTAAGAGCCTGGTTTCCTCTTATTGTCGACCGTCCTCTCGTGGGACTTTTGTGCTGCGTTTCATCTCGAGGCTCACCATCTTTCAATTAGTATAGCGAGCGACCACTGGCTCGACGATAACTACAGGATAAGTCGAAAGTTTATACAAATATTTGACGGGGTAGGTGTCTGCAGTCTGTTAGCTTCGTGCAGCAGCATAATATACAACTCGATTTCATGTATACAAACGCTCACATGCTGACGTAGATCAACGTGTAACTAGCGACTCTTCCTCTCAACCTGCCAAAGCAGTAGGACAATTGCACGGTTATAGTTCTCGTTGGACAATCAGTGTTACTACTGTCATCCAATGCCTTCGGTTGTGCTAGAATGCGTCAGCAACCGAGAGCAGCGGAAATATATGGCGAGTACACGCTACTGCACAACTCGGACTGATTTGACCAGTCGCTTCATGTCGTCGATGTCGCACATAGTGAACAACGGGCACCCGACGAGTCGAAGCTCCTCTAATCCCGTCACCGTTCGCTTTGCTAGGCATCGTTTTATGGACTCGAGGATATTTATTTTATTGCAATCAAGTGGTCTCAATGGATTGAGTAAGCGGCTGCCAGAGTAATTCAGTTCCAGGACGCGAAGCGACGGGATGCAGGTGGGATAGTCGCCGAGTGTGCTGAGAAGATGGTCGAGGTCTTTGTACATATACACGCCAAGATGAGTGATCGTCTTTGGATGAGTAGCAAACAGAAACTGTGGTGCGTCAAGCCCCACCCATCTCGTTGCATTATGCTGCCTTCTCACACCCACAAAGCCTCCTTTCGAAGAGGCCATAGTTTTCATCCATGCGTGTACGGCCTCGTCTTCATCTATTCCAATAGCAGTCTCAATGGATGTCGGGGAATCGAGCCCATAGCCCACATATAGATATGGATCATGTTGGATGATATCGAGACTTGCATCTGCCGAAAGTTTCGTAGTCAATAAGGAAGTTAGAGGCCCTAGCTGTCCTAGCTCGCTATCTGGGACGAGCGTACACAGAACGGAAAGCCTAGGGGCAATGATCCTCCGCAGAAACTTTGTGCACTCTAATGCGCCATCGGTCATGATGAGCAAGCATTTGAGCGACGGCAACTCCACTTGCTGAGCTGGTTCATCCACTTCATTGCACCAGGAAATGTAATATAGAGCACACGATTCCAGCGATGGCAAACCCTCCAGTATGGCGAGTAAATCAATATAAGAGAAGTCTAGAGGATCACATATCTCCAGATGTCGTAATGAATTGGATGCTATCCTGGTCCAAGCCAGGGTACAGCATTCCAATTGAAGTCGACTCAAGTGCGTAGCATATTTGGGGCCAACCATGTAAGGTAGGGGGAGATTTGTGTCGTATCCATCCATGAATGATTACCACAGATTCAAGGAGTGGCGCAGGAAAATTAAGGAAAGCATGCATGCCTTCATCTACCCAGACACCGATATAGATACCTCGGATCCGCGAGATTTCTTCGGAGAGAATTTTGCGAAACACCCGGCTTACGTGAAACCAATCTTCCTAAGAGTAATCCGGCAACGTGACAGTGAAGGGTGCTTGCTTTGTGCGCTTGACCTGGAGTTCTACCCACATAAGATTATGATTTATAACCACATTCGCCCAGAGAATGGAACAGTCGAGGACGACGTCGCGCCAATATCGACACACTCCAGAGAGTGTAACGGCCGCGCGAGCTTGGCGAGCGCGCATCTTCACGTCCTCTACATCGAGAATAGAAGTGGTCGAGATCGGTAAATTTGTGATGTTCGCTGCGTCGGCAACATAATGGAGGAAAACGTGTTCCAGAGCTTCGCGAGGCAGAACCGCGATCGGGGAGAGCGTGTTAACCATCGATTGGATTTGTCTAAAGGCATGAAGAAGTTTCGACCCCTCGAGCAAAAGGCGTTGTCGCCGGTTTTCCACGGAATTACCTTGATGATTGTCTCCGTAGACGGTGCGTATAGTATCCTGAAGATCACTATACACAGTCTCAGCAAACCAGTGCATAGGGTAGTCAACATGATTCATGAATTGAGATATAAGCCTGTGTAGTGCTCACCTGCTGATAAATTCTTCTGTAGACTTGGACGTGGTTTGAGGCATCCTGTCCATTGAATAAGGGAATGTGAGGCAGTGCACCAATGAATGAAAAACAGCTGGATTAACATTGTACTCAGGAGCTGGTAGCGCAACGCAACCTAAGGCTTCAGCTGCAATAATTGGAGGTTTTCAAGTGATTCTGGGTATGGTAATGAGAATGGAAAGAAATAAAGAGATGTATTGACACTCATACTGAGTTCACTGGTAGAAACTCTGCCACAGAAAACAGACTCATTCCAAATGACCCAAAGGGAAAATTGTTGAACATAGGAAATGTCAAGGCACAGCTGGAATGATCAAGCCAGATCCCTAGGAGGGAGATACACACATAGTGGATGTGAACTGGAGTACATTTCCTATCTACAACACTATATGTACATGAATAGTGCCCTAAACCCTGATCAGATAAGGATCAGATAACTAATCCAGAGGTATTAGGATTAAGCAGTACATAGGAAAAATGTACATTCAACATGGCTCTGATGGCTCCCTGGATTGTGCTCATATAGTGAGTGATGTTCAATTCACTCACAAGTATGACCTTGACAGAATGTGTACACAGCATCTCTTGTACTGTTCTGTTCATGGATACAGCTGATCACCTCCAAACATATTACAAGCAATTGCTCTCAACCTTCAATTAATGTGTCTAAAAATATGGAAATCAGGCACAGATGTACTTACATAGGTGAGGCATGGTGAGGCTGAGGATGCATGTTACTGGTAAATTTGATATGAGTGAGCCTTTAATTCAGGAGCCTCTGCTGTCTCTGGACAGATGTTACTGTAGTTATCTTCAGGAGGATTGTCAGCTCGACCATCATGCTCACTTTATAAGTCAGATGTGCATGTCAGACGTCCCAAGTGATCCTAGATATGCAAGTCATTGATTTTGGGGACCTGAAAATGCAGGTGAGGTGCAGAACAAGCGAGTTACTCGAAGAAACAGCTTAGGAAGCCAGACTGGACCGCATGGAGATGCGTATCATTTCGAATGGCACAGCAGTGACTGTGATCTTGAACACATCCTCCATCTCCGCTCTTGTGGGGACCTCAAATGTACCTGAATATCATGAGCCCTGGTGCTTCTCGCGAATGCAGCGCACGATGCGTCCGGACCTTGTAGAGAATATATAGGCGATCTCACTGAGGCGTAAGACGACTGTATCAGCATCCCACAAGCATGTTCGAGCGGCCACAGACAACGTCAGGAATGAGACGAGTGGCAAGCTTCTGCGTGAATGCATCCATCACCGGTGCAATTCGACCTTTCACTCTCGCTTCCAAAACAGGCACTATTAGAATAATGCTATTGAGGAAGCCCGCACAGGGAAGAGATGGGGCTATATACACTCCGGATCAAGGGAAGAGTTGCTGGGATATACAAAGTTCCTGGTTGGTCTTCCAGAGCTTATTCCGGTCCCAGAGACCCCAGGAGAGGTAGTTTCGTCACTGGTAGCGAAACAAGATCGGCTCGTTGATCAATGGATACCATCGTGTCTTCGTGCGTGTTACTGGTGACTGAAGATTCGCAGACGCAGGGTGAATCGAACTTATTTTCCAAAAGCCGCGGCTTCTGCCATTTTTGATGTCCTGATTGCCAGCCCTCCTTTAATGGATTCCGTGCGGCTCGTCGCACAACGTGCATACATATGGGTATGTATTATTGAAATTTGAGCTTCGCCAGTGAGGCTATTGGTGTAGATGAGTCTGGCTCCAAAATTCTGCACACAAGGCTATGTAACAACAGTGCAGCAGTGCAGGCTGTCCAGTTCGTTTAAAACTTCGAGTACAAAACGCAATCTGGTTGCCATGTATCTGCATCCCAAAGCTCAGGCGGACAACCTTGACGCGTCTCAGTCGAGTCTCGTCGCGGGCGTTGTGTCCGGACCAGACCAGATCTCGTGGTCGACCATGATCATGAAGACGATTGCACTCAGCTCGGTCAAGAGGGCGTCCGTGACCCACGCGCACTGAGTGAGCACTATAATCTCCATGTCCGCAAGGTTCGGGCACGCGCGGCGCGCCGACACACAGTGAACGAGCGCGGCCCCCACCGTGACTCTGGTATGGTCCTGAGAGTCAATGTCCATGTCTATGATCTCCAGGGCATGCATGTTCGGCAGACACGGGGTGACGGCGAGTTGCGTGAGGAGCTTATCGAGCTTGTGATACTGCGTAACACTGAGGTACCGGACGCCATCCAGTGCGGGCGAGGCGAATAGGGTGGCACGCATATCCTGCTCGATCTGCTCATTCTGTCTGACACCGTACGCGATGACTGAAAGCGGGCAGCTATTCGCAGGTCTCGGACGGCGAAGGTGTGCAAGCGAGTGGGGAAACACCATGGTGCCAATATGCTTGAGGAAGCGATATCCCGCAAAAATTACTGATCCGTTTTGCATGATTGTGAGCGTGTCGAAGGGGGAGAGCTTGGATACGAATGCGGCCATGAGCGATGTGCTGGCATTTGAGGGCGAGCCCACGCTGAAAGTGGTCAGATTCGGGAGCACGATACTGTCGAGGAATGCCACGGGTAGTGAATCGTCACAACATGCGACGTGCAAAATCCGGATGGAACCAAGTGTTATCGAATAAGGAGCTCTATCCCAATCCCCAAACTTACAGCATAGCTCCATGTGCTCGAGCAAAGGCATCGTCTCCAATACATCGACGAGGCTACTGGTGTAGGCCATTGTGTTATTGATGACTAGGTGGCGGAGCGTGTGGGCGGGCAGGACAGAGAGAGGGATCTGAGTGTATACCTCAACGCGGTACAAATGTGGAGAGGACTCAGGGCGGAAAACAGCTTGAAGCGGGACTCTGGAATCATAGAAGCCGGAAAATATGAGATGCTGGAGGAGTGGTGCGCGGTCAACGAGGCACTGAAGGATGTCCTGGTCGATGTCGCACACGAGGTCGATGCCCTGGACGCGAGTGAGACTGGACAAAACGGCGTCGACTCTAGCATGTTTCAAGAGGGTGAGCGCGAAGGGCATGTTCTTACTGCGGGAGAGCTGGAGAGCTGTCCAAGCCGGGTTACTTTGATAAGTAATGGTAACATTCATCCAGAGGGCGGCACAATTGAGAGCGACGTTGCGCCACAGACGGCAGACGCTGGACAGTTCGAGGGCGGTGATAGACTGGAGAAAGCGGGAGTCACTTAAGCAGGCACTATCAAAGAGGGCTGATGGGGAGATGGGGAGGACGCTGAGGTCAACTGCGTTAGCGACATGGAGGAGGAAGATGTGGGTGAGGATCTCAGGAGGGAGGGAGGAGATGGGTGCGAGGGCATTAATTCGTTCCCTCACTTGAGTGAGAGTGCGGAGGAGGCTTGTTTCTTCGCGTCTGAGCAGGCGTCGCTGCACTTCGACTCTGCGCGCGTGTCAGGCCGTCGGTCGCGGTTAGCATCTGAATGAGATGAGATGACTTACTCAGAAGCCATAGTAAGTCAAAGTGCAGCTGCAGGCCAGCATCGATCACACGGGCCGCCAGAAATATCGCGGGCGTTCATTTTCGTAGGCCGCTGACTCCGCCCAGACATCTAGTACCATAGGCCTGACACACGCCCCACTGTACGAATGTCGAACATACCTCGCTTAGCGTGAGGGTAGCCTCTGCCGCTGTCTCCAGGCGGTTTCATCGTGCAAGAGACGATCCTCGATGGGATTATATATGCTCAATGCTGCCCTTCTTTTGAGGTGCACTCATGCACGAAGCGCTTGTCAAGCTTCCAAGCTTGAAATCTCATCAAATCTATAACATCCTGCTCGATCTGTTCCTCTGTCTATTGGTCCCCAGCCTGGGTTTTGTAGTATATGGCGACCGTTCTCGGCGCACAATGCACGGCAAGGGACGCGTGCGCGCGAGTACCCCGTGGTAGAGATACATGTGCGGCTCTCGATGTATAAGGTCTCAATAAAACTGAGCTTTGTGAGAGAACTAAGCGCTCTATCGCTACCCCCGGAATTGTTCAGCAGCTCTAAGGATTCGTGCAATGGCAACATCTTTAGAATATCGATGAGGCTACTGTTGTAAGCCATAACCTCGTCCCTGATAATGATGCAGCGGAGTGTATGGATATCGAGAAGGGTCCTAGATGTGCACTTCAACGTGTTGGAGATGAGGAGACGACTCAGAGCGAAAGATGTGTTCGAGCGCGAGTCTGGCATCATCATATCCATAAGACCTGCAAAAGCCTGTCTGGAATATTAATGTTCTGGTCGACGTTGCACGTGAAGTCGATGCCCTGCCATAATGCGCGCACGAGGCTGGGAAAATTCCAACAAGTTCTCCGCAGGACGACGGGAGTGGCTCGTTGAAGGTGAGAGCGAGGGGAAGCTCAGCAGCGGAATCAAAACGGGCACACTGCAACGCGACGCGCCCGAGTCTGATCATGATTATCGCGGTGTCGTGACCGGCGCGTCGTGCGCTACTACAATGAGCGCCGGCTTCTTCACGTTCCAAAAAGGGACTAGCGAGCAGCATGGTTCTTATAGCGAAACGTTCTTCTCCCACCCCCGCCACCAGGACGCCCGGCTTATGCACCTCGACTCTACAATGAAACTAGTCCTGCCGACTATAAAACCTCCTCTGATTATGCTCATGGACGACATAACGTGCTCTTCCTCCTCTGCCGCCGACATAGATGTTTACCCCGTACGCAGATGACTTGCCGTACCTGGACATTGGCGAGCAATTAGAGTCACTGCTCTTCAGCACTGAGCAGCCTCTCGTGTCGGACCAGGTAATCCATTGTATTCCGAATGGCTCTGCAGGGTGCAGTGGCAACGACACGGCGCCGTTCAATCAATTGCCGGTGGGCCTGTCAAGCAACTCTCTGTGGGTCACTCCATTCTCGTATGCTTGCACGAAAAGCTTACAAACAACCCTCCTAGCGGACTTGACTTTGGCATCAAGACGGATACCACAGTCCCAACCGTATACTCTCACCATCTGTCTCTATACCCAACTCCTCACAATGGCTTTCCTTCCTCGCCTCTATTCGTTGGACCTCTCGCATCCGAACTCTCCCCCAGCGGAGTATCTCGATTTATGGATGCAGAGCACTCCACGTCCGGCCTACATACCCAGCTCCATCAGACTCTGATCTCTCCTCCGGTCTCGTTGCACCCTCCACACACCGATCATCAGAACGTGGGTGGTGTAGTTGGAGATATACCCGCCTCTGCCTCTTTGTTCGTAGCACGAACACCCACTCACAACGATCGTTTCTCTCCCTATTCCTCCCCGTCGCTCTCGGTCTCGTCGTCATCTTCATCGCTGTCCTCCTCTCCCGGTTCTCCGTTCACGCCTTCCCGCTCGCGTGCTCATACCTCTTATCACCGCGCTCGAGGGAACGCGCGTCCGCGGAATATACAGCTACCTGTTACAGACAGTGACATCTCTGCGGCCGTCCAGGACGGGAAGACCGTGTGCACGGTTCTCGGCTGCACCTTTGTGGCTTCACGCGGGGCTCGGACTGATCTGGCGAGGCACATGGAAACTCATCGGACGACTACGAATCAGGACAAGTGGAAGTGTTGGGGTGCGCTTGCGGACAGTCAAGCGGTGGCAGAAGGGCGGGCATACGAATACAAAGGACGACTGTTGACTGGGGGATGTGCAAGGGGATTCAGCAGGAAGGATGCGCTGGGTCGGCATATCAGAAGCGAGAAGAACGACTGTATTGGAGACTTGCGGTTGGCTAAGGAGCTGAGCAGGAGTTAGTGGTTCATCTTCCTCGCTCCTGGATTATGTTCAGAGGAATATCCGTAGCCTGGTGAAATTGCGGTGTCACATTGCGTACACAGTTTGATCGGATGTATCAATCGGTCAAATTCCAACGTATCACCACAAATTCCTCAGTCTGCCAATGTGCTTGGAAAATTGCGTGATTACAGCTCCCGTTCGACGGTGTTGCTGTCCTTTGGCACACCTCATTAATGACATCGACCCAAGATCAGTGAATCGTCTCCACATGTTGGAAGTAGATGATCAAGCAAGTGTTCAACTTAAGCAAAACAACTACAGGCGTATGCCGCAAAGGTAGCGGACTCTTACGCAAAATATGTGCTTGCATTGATCTTCTCTGCCAATGTCACTGAATGAGCACGCATTTCATTGCTCTGACAAGCTACGTATTTCGTGGATCGCTGACACACAGACAATACAGGCGTCCCTTTACGGTTCGGCCGTGTAGACTTCTGTTGGAGTTTCATGACCCGATCAATCCATGGACGACCTGGACTAGAGTAGGTCAGTAACCGAGAGCTGTGGAATCACATCGCATGTACCCATTATTCTACAACTAGGACTGAGTTGACCAGTCGCTTTACGCGGTCAATTGTAGACTTGGTCAACCACGGGCACTTGATAAGATGAACCTCGACTAATCCCGTAACCGTCCGTTCGGAGATACATTGCATCAGAGGATCCAAGATTTGCCGTTTGGAGTAACTTGAGCGATTTGAACTATGGAGCTCCAAGGTACGAAGCGATGGAAGACAGGTGGGATCTGCAAGTACGGTTAAGAGAGACGGGAGGTCTTCGTATCGATAGACGCGGAAATGAGTGGTATCCTTGAAGTGACTAGCACGAAGCAAGGATTTCCAATGCGACGGCTTAGGCCAATGCGGTCTCCTATAATAATACCCCACCATACCGCCCGAAAAACTTCCTTTTGAGATGGCCATAGATCTCGACCACGCACGGATATCCTCTTCGTGGATTATGTGAGAAGTATCTTGAATGAACTTTGGGTACTCCAATCCACAGCCCAAAAACAGAGACGTGGCATGTTGAATGATATCGAGGCTTTCATCCGCTTGAATGTTCACGGCGAATGGGACAATAAGATCCACTAGCGTCTCGTAAACTGCGAACATACGCAAAACAGACAGTTTCGGAGCAATGATGCCCTCCAAAAACATCTTGCACCGTGATCCATCGCTGTCCATGATATACAAGCGCTTCAGTGACTGCAGTTCAACAGGTCGAGCTGGCGTCCCCATTTTGCTTCGAATAGCGTGATCTAGCTCCAATGAGTCTAGCGCCGGCAATCTCTCCAGTAGAGCGCGTAGGGTGAAGGAGAACTTTCTAGTTGGATATGATATTCCTAGATGCCGCAATGTGTTGGACCTGATGGCATTGGTCCAAGCCGGGGCACAGTTTTTTAACCAAATTTGATTCAAACTGACAGCATTTCCAAATTTGAAGATGTTAGAAAGAGGGGTCAGTGGGTCATGCCCAGCGGAAAATACCAAATATTTGAGGAGTGGTGCGGGAGAATTCAAGAGAGAGCGGGTGTCATTATCTATAGAGATACCGATGTCGATACCTTCGATCCGCCAGATTTCTTTCGAAACAATGTTGCGAAGCACCTTGCGAGTGATTTCCCGACGGAGGGAAGACTTGTAGCCGTCTGGAAGACGCGGAAGCGTGATAGTGAAAGGCGCTTGCTTTGTGCGCTCGACCTGAAGTTCGGCCCACATAGGATATTCATTTATTATCACGTTCGTCCAGAGGATGGAGCAGTCGATGACAATGTCGCGCCAGTATCGACACACTCCGGAGAGTGTAACGGCCGCGCGAGCTTGGCGAGAGCGCAAATGCGCGTCCTCTGTAGTAAAGATACTAGCGGTCGCAATTGGCAAACCTTCTATTTTCGCGGCATCGGCAACGTAATGGACGAAAACATGGGCAAGCACTTCGCCAGGAACAGCTGCGACCGGGGAAAACATGTCGATCGTGGAGTGAATTTGCGTTCGAGCGCAGAAGGATCTCGCCTCTTCGAGTATGAGGAGCTGTCTCCTGTTCTCCACAGGAAGGTCCTGATAATTCTCTCCGCAGATAAAGTGCATAGCATCTTCAGGTTCCCTATGCACATTCGACAAATGAGTCTCGCAAGGGGTAATCCACATGTCCATGTATTAAGATGTAGGGCCGTATGATGCTCACCTACTGAGGAATTGCTCTGTGTATGTGTGTTGGATCATCCTATGCATGGACTAAGGATGTATGAGGCACACCTAGGGATTAGAAGTCGGATAGTGCTTGAGGGACGCAGCATCAAGTCCAACTCGAAGGACCGAGGCTCTAAGGCAGGGACCCCAGGATACTAATGCAGACGCAATTGGCGTTTGGATCGCGGTGCGGGCAGACCCGGCCAAAATTTGACGAACGTCGGATCCCTCCTGCAGAAACGAATGACCTTATCGACTAGAGCATCGATCATTGTGCGGACGGCATCGCATCTCGTCATGGCATTTGCCTCTGCCAGTTACCTTTGAAGATAATGGCTTTCCTTTTGAACGTTGACACCGTGAGATACATCTCGAATGGGGAGCGAAATGTACCAATATATCAACGCCGCATACTATTTTCGCCCTAAAATTTAAATTGGTGAGTCTTTACGGTATAGAGCTCTCCGTGACTGTCCGCAAGATGCTCATATAACTGGCATCTAAGCAAATAATTAGGAGCTTTTTTGGGACCTGCCGAGCAAGACGTTCCACATGGCAGGTTTTCTTGAGATATAATGCGTCTTCTTGGGAAGAACACCAACATTCAAGGACTGGGGAGTGTAAGTTTTATTCCATCACGGAGCAATGAAGATGTAGCATCGGCTGAGATGGAAACAGACAAGAGTGAGCTGTAAGAATATCTGTGAAACGTTCTAGATACAGTGCTTTGTGTACACATGGGCGCAAGTGGCTTTGCGCGATTCGTATTTGGCGATTCTGGGTGATTTTTGAGAGGATAGATCGCTCACACTGACGAAAATTGGATCATTCGAGATCACCGAGATCTGGATGCCGGCATTTGAGGTACCAAAATCGCGTGGATATAAAGGCTAAAAACTAGAGTTTTGGATCTGAGCTCTAGGAGGATATGACGGGATCCTGTGATTCCAGTGGTCACCAGCTCGCGTCATGATACTGAATATAAATCAAACATGAGGCAATAAACGACCATGTGCACCGAGTAAGTCGGTAAGAGATAGTTTAGCTTGACTAGCGACGCACCAAGATATAGCATTTAAATTTTGTAGCAAACTTTGTTCCCGGAAGGGGTGGGGGCAGGGATAACTATGCCGACGTTGCAGTGGTCCTGGAACATCATATCGCGAAGGTAAGGCGCGACCAGCCATTGCTTGTCCGGGACCTCTCTTTTTGACACAAAATGTCCCTACCGGTCCCAGTCGATTGTTTGGTGGAGGATGATAGAGAAGACGATTTCAGCTTATTACCATCCGGAAAAGATAAGTATTCGCATTCTGCATGTGCCGCGCGTTATCATGTATGGAGTACGAACTTCGATTCTTGTTTTCAGAACTAAAAAGTGTGCCCGTGGCGAAGCGTCTCCAGTAAACGGTCTCGTGATACCGACTGATGCGACCTGCCGTCTTGGGACAGGCGCCTGCCTCTTCACGTTCCAAAAAGGGACTAGCGAGCAGCATGGTTCTTATAGCGAAACGTTCTTCTCCCACCCCCGCCACCAGGACGCCCGGCTCATGCACCTTGACTCTACAATGGTTATGACTCTCCAGCGTATAAAAGCGCGCACGGCTGTCCGCATGGATCACATCTCACGTCGCCGTCTGCTCCCCTTAGTCTCTCCGACTCGCAATGTTCGATAACTTCGATTTGACCGCTTCGGCCTCGGTGTACTCCCATGATGGACACAAGCCACAGTGCTATGAAGGCCTTCCTCTTGGAGTTTACTCTGACGCTGCATCTCATGGGTCGGCCTTAGATCCATCATACTTAGATAATCTCGTTTGGACTGGCTTGTGCTCTGCTAATCCCGACGAGCTCGCGGGCTATCAGCCCGACCTCGGGCAGGCACTCCACGTGCTCAGGGACAGCAGCACGCTGGATTCACTTATATCCCCTCACGTTGATAATACTTTGTGAGTCTCTCAATCATCTTTGCTCATATTATTGTTTGACATCCATCGGCAGGCAGCTCGATCTGGGCGTCGGACTGGAATCTCACGGGAATGGCTCCTCGTATCTTGTCTCTAGCTCGTCATCTACGAGTTTTCATACTATCCCTTCATATTTTCCTCTCCAGTCAACCGAATTGTGCCCAGATAACTTAGACCACTTTGCCGCGTCGCAGACGGAAGCTCCCATACCGCTCACCTATGCACCCCGCATGCAGCATATCGACCTTCCTGACCTCCCTAAGCATGAATTTCGACTATTCGGGGCTCCAACGCAGGGGGGAAATGATGGTGCACGCGCCTCGACATCTCATGCTTCACCAGCTTTCTCTCGCCCATCTACGCCCTCCGGTAATTCTCGCAGCCATTCCCGTCGAGTCGTGCGTCCGCGAAACGCGCAAGCGTTCATTTCGCCGCTTGCTGCAGCGCAGGCTCTCGCGAACGGTTCATTTGTCTGTCCTGCCCCCGGCTGCGGCCATGTCCCGTCGAGCAAGAACCCCAGCGACTTGGAACGTCACATGGCAACACATCAGTCGTACGCAAACAAAGGGAAATGGATATGCTGCGGAATTCCTGCTAATGCGGAGAATGCGGATGTGGCGTATATAATCAAGGGGCGTTTGATGACTGGAGGCTGCCAGACGGAATTTAGCAGGAAAGACTCGCTTGGTCGCCATCTCACGCGGAGCGGGTGTGTGGGCGACTTAAATCTGGCTCAAGAGCTCGGCAGTGCTTAAGATCGTAGTCATTGTGGACGGTGAGCTGCCTTCGTAGCATGCTAGTGGGTATTTTAGCGCTGAAAATTAGAATCTCCATTATAGATCGTTGAGTTAGTTCGATTATTCCACTTGTATTCCCATCCCTTTTTTTCTTGGTTTATGTCTAGTATTTATCGCCTGCTCCCTGATCACACCTGTGAATATTGGGTGTGTTCGTCCTTGATCAAAACCATTCCTGCTGTTTTTGCCACTTGTGCCATTAATGTAAGCAACGTCATGTATGTCTAGAACAACTCTTAATTTATTACGGATTTTCCTCAATCCATGTACAACCAGAATTGTCAGATCAGTGTCCGTCACGTACGTTTGCGGTGGGACACGTCACACGCGTCAGTTCTGTGCCATCAGTGCGTGGCCCGTCACGGCGTCATGACTGAAAAGGGTATGGTTCTTACGCAGTTCAGGCAGTATGCTCGCTCATTGGTCTGGTGAGGTGCAATGAGTTTGAAATTGGCCCGTTCCTGTTGCAACCTGAAGGTTCTGGTCGAATCTCGGATGTTCTCTCACCGCTCGCCATCCTGAACGCCCGACTCTGCGCGTTCATAAGGACCCCGCTTGCGTAGCCTTTTAAAGCATCTCCGTTTTTGGTCATGAATGGTACTCCTCATCCGCGCCCTTTGCTCCCCGCTCCCCTCACACCTCTCCTCATGATCCACATCGTCGATCTTATAGCAGCCGGTTGCTCACCGAATAACTTTGAGATACTCTCTGTCCGTGGTTGTGATCTGGAGCATTCTCCTGGGCAGCCCGAAGACCACTTCATCTTTGCCGCCGTCCCCCTTGTCTCGCATGATCACATTTTTTCTCTCAGCGTGCAGTACGACAAGCGGGATGGGTCTGGAGGCCGCCTCGGGTCTCCGGAGAATCATGACCCCATCAGTGTCCGGTATTTGACACGTATACCTAGCAATGCATTGTGAGTATCTAGCTAGCTACTTTATGGTATTGGAAGCTGAACGCATATACTCATTCAGACGGCTCAACTTGGGACTCGGCACACACTCGCGTATCGAGTGCGACATGCGGATGAACACCGATTCTTTTACTCCCCTTGACTCGTTTGGGCATGAAACTTTAGTTCCATCTACCCCGCTTGAATCGTTGGATGGATTAGACGCGCTCACGAACCTGGAACCGCCGATTCCCCGTATCGCAACGTTCGCGCCTCTCTTGCAATCGGCGAGTCTTCCGCCTATCCCGCTCTCGTCAGTTTCCTAGGATATCGAACCTCTTCCTGACAATACCGCTTTACTGGCAACCTAGAATAACAATGCCACTCTGACTCGCCCTCTGGAATATCCCTCCACTCTTCTTCTGCCTCGCTCTCCTTCCCCCGGTCTCTCTCTCGCACGTGAATCTTAGATATCTTTGCTCTTTCATAGTATTGCATGGCTGGAGTGGAGTGGAGGGGAAAGTCTCATGGTCAACGATTGGTGAAATCGTCACGCATATAGTCGCGACTTTCGAGGAGGATGGCAGCATATACGATGGATGATTTCTTATCGCACATGCTGGAGCCAACAGATGCCAGTCTAGCATCGTCTGCTTGCGGAGCGCCGCCCAATAGCCCGGTTATTTGCTGGAGGGACTGCTCAGCTACGGGTGGAGAGGTGGTGGATTAGAGATGAAAGATGGCGAGCCGGCGCGCTGGGGCAGAACTGCCACCTATTGATTTGATGTGGCCTGTAAGCCACGGATAAAGACTGCCATTTTCTGCACAGTGCAAAGGTACTTGCAATCGATTGTATGCGCGTTCAACTGATGCTTTGTGTGGGATACGTCATTGTGCTTCAAAGTGCCAGGGCCGTGACGAGGGCCAAAGTGCAAGAGCAACGCCACAACTCACGAGACCCTACGGCCCACGGTGCGTGTATTGTTCCGGGACCCTGCTGTCGCTCGCCGGTTGCCGTGCCACTCGCTTCCAGGCCACCCGTGTTCAGAGGCTCTCCGCGATCCACACTGTCCGTCGTATAAAATGGCTTCTATTCCGCTGCCTGAGCTGCATCTCTCACCTCCTCACTTTCATTCGACCACCCGCAGAAATGTCACTACTCCCCACCTTCTCAAACTTGTGCATACGCATACATCCTCCTCCCGTCGGATGCTACTCCGTGCTGCCGAGGTGCGTTGCGAGCTAATCCATACTCGGAGTCGGTGCTCGAAATCGCTCACTTCACGATCT